CCCACCTACCCACCTACCATGGTCTCCTACAGCAAGATGAGCCCCGGTCGGCCGGCGGCTCTGCTGGCCCTGCTGCTGATGGCCCTCATCAGCACGGCGCACGCCTTCACCTGCCCGATCCTCTTCTCCCTGCGCCAGTCGGCCATCGACTCCAACAACCCCAAGAGCGTGCTCGGCTACAACGGCGCCATCAAGGCCCTGGGCTGCTGCAACTCCGGGCACTCCTGGAAGGCCCCCCACTGCCAGGCCAACAGCGGCCCGGTGTGCGGCTACGACTTCGAGACCTACCCGAATGCCTGCGACCTGGGCGCCTGCCGGTCCGGTGTCCAGTTCACCGGCGCCTGCAAGCCCCAGCCCCATGTGCTGGACTGGTGCTCGGCTACAACGGCGCCATCAAGGCCCTGGGCTGCTGCAACTCCGGGCACTCCTGGAAGGCCCCCCACTGCCAGGCCAACAGCGGCCCGGTGTGCGGCTACGACTTCGAGACCTACCCGAATGCCTGCGACCTGGGCGCCTGCCGGTCCGGTGTCCAGTTCACCGGCGCCTGCAAGCCCCAGCCCCATGTGCTGGACTGCTACATGGTCCCGCTGGACCAGATGGCCCAGCGGGCGGCCTGCTTCCAGGCGGCCCTCATGCGCATCATCCAGAGCGTGGACCTCAACAACACGCCGCCGGATCCGGAATGGCGCCTGGCCCAGCCCTGCGTCGTCCCCGGCCAGTATGACCTGACCCAGTGGCGCACGGCCGATGGCCGGTGCAACAACCCCACCCCGGAGCGCTCGTACTCCGGCATGACCGGGCTCTACTTCATTCGCCACGACAAGACCCGGTTCATGCCGGCCAACGTGGACCTGGCCGTGGCGTCCGGGCCCAACCCCCGGCTGGTGAGCAACCTGCTCTTCAAGCGCAAGACCTTCACCCCCAACCCGGTGGGCCTCAGCGGCCTGGCCATGGCCTTCTTGAACTTCTTCATCCACGACTTCTTCCTGCCGGAGGTCGACTGGGCCGACATGCTGGCCATCCCCATCCCGCCCAATGACCCGGTGTACCCCTACAGCGAGTGGTCCGGCGAGGAGCACTACATGTACCTGCCCAAGACCCGGGTCCATGCCGATGGCACCGTCCGCAACCAGGTGACCGCCTGGTTCGATGGGTCCCAGGTGTATGGCTCGACCCAGTCTCGCATGGACTCCCTGCGTACCTTCCAGGGGGGCCGGATGCTGGCAGATCGGAAGAGCGTCGTGGCACTACATGTACCTGCCCAAGACCCGGGTCCATGCCGATGGCACCGTCCGCAACCAGGTGACCGCCTGGTTCGATGGGTCCCAGGTGTATGGCTCGACCCAGTCTCGCATGGACTCCCTGCGTACCTTCCAGGGGGGCCGGATGCTGGCCGACCCGGTGACCGGCTTCGCGCCGGACGAGCCGGCCTCCGGCAACCGCCGCCGGCGCAACCCCAACCACCCGGCCCTCTTCCTGCTGGGTGACGACCGTGGCAACCAGCATGCCGGTCTGACGGCCATGCACCTGCTCTTCGTCAATGAGCACAACAATGTGGCCGCCATGCTGGAAGCCGCCTATCCCCACCTGTCGGATGAGGAGCTCTTCCAGCGGGCGCGCCTCATCGTCGGTGCGGAGCTCTTCAAGATCCAGACCATCGAGATGTCCACCCAGCTGGTGGCCGACATCCCGTCGCAGCTGCTGGTGGCCTCCCTCTGGAGCGGCTACGCCACCAAGGAGTACAATGAGCTGGCCATCCATGCCACCCCCTTCGACTTCAATGCCGCCTACCGGTTCCATGCCATGGTGCCGGAGACCCTGCAGCTGCGCGACCGCAATGGCACCCCCCTCGGCGACCGGGTCAACTACATCGACACCTTCCACAACACCACCCTCCTTCGGCAGTATGGCTATGGCCCGGTGCTCATCGGTCTGGCCTCCGAGGTGGCCGGCAAGCTGACCTTCAACAATGTGCCGGATGCCATCCGCAACATCCGCCACACGGATGTCACCTACTCCCGGTCGACCCCCTTCGGCGGGTACTTCGGCCCGAGCCTCGGCTCCAGCTCCAGGTCCAAGTGCGTGGTCCAGCCCTTCCTGGACATCGGCACCGTGGATGTGGTCCGTGATCGCGAGCGCGGCGTGCCCCGTGCCAATGACTACTACGCCCGCATCGGCCTGCCGGAGCTTCGCGCCACGCACTTCGGCCAGATTGCCCCCACCCCGGAGGGGGCCCGCGCCGTGGCCGACCTCTACGACTGGGACATCAACAATGTGGACTTCATTGTCGGCCTGCTGGGCTTCGACTCCACCGAGCTCGATGGCATTCCCATCATCTCCACGGCCGGCTTCCTGCCCTTCGTCTACTCGCGCAACACCCACGATCGCTTCTACACCAAGGACTGGCTCACCCCCAGCGTCTACACCCAGGCCGGCTTCGATCGCCTCATGGGTACCTCCACCAACCCCGGCGGTGTCACCCTCGCCCAGATCATGGTCGAGGCTGGCGTCCTCGACCAGGCCCCGGCCAACAACGGTGTCCACTTTGCCACCCGCCTGCCCGGGCTCGAGGTGTTCAAGGTCTGGAAGTGGGACTAAGGGGGTCCCGGGCCGGGGGCAGGAGAGCCTCCTCTCCTTCCCTGTTCCTCCCCCCCTCCCCCCTCCGCGCCTCTCTGTCCTTTGTCCGGGGGGCGCACCAGGCGCGTCGCTCCTCTACCGTGTGTGGTGTGCCGGCGGCGCCCGTGTGTGTCCCCCTCCTTGTGTGTGGTTTTCTCTCGTATCTTGCGCATGTGTCCTGTCGCGTTCGCTTCCTCCCTCCCCCGCCCGCGCGCCCTTCGCCGGTCGGGGCGGGGGGGGGGGGGAGAAGTCGGCAGCGCCCCGTGCGCGTGTTGTTGTCCCGTTGGGCGAGCGTGCGCACGCGGCGCGCCACCAACGCCCTCTCCTTCCAGTTTCCCCTGGGGAGGGTCCTGGCGCGCGCCCCTCCGCTCCCCCTCTCTCTCTTTCTCTCTCTCCCCCGCGCCTCTGATGGCCCTCCCTCCAAGGGTGCACGTGTGCGCATCCCTTCCTCTCTCCTTCTCGCAGGGACGCCGTGCGGATGGGGGAGGGAGCGGGGGATGGCGCGTGCGTGCCCCCCGGGGGCTGCGCGTCAAATACACCTACCTTTTTGCTACCCTCCCTGTTCTGGTGTGCTGCTTGTGTCCCTGCTGCTTGCCGCGCGGGCTCTGATGTCTCTGTGTGTGTGTGTGTGTGTCTTCGTCGCTTGCCCTGGGCCCTCGTGTTATGTCTGCTCTGCCCCGGCTGGGACCTTTGGGCGGGGGCGGGGGGGGGGGGGCCTCAGCGCGGGGTGTGTCTGTGTGTGTGGGCCTGGGGCGTGCCATGTGCAGCGCGGTGTTTTGAAGGCGCAAGGGGCTGCCCCGCTTTGGGCGGCGAGACGCGCGCGCGCCCTGCCCCCTCCCCACGCCCCCCCCCCCCCGCCCCCCTCCCCCCGCCCCCCTCCCCACGCCCCCCTCATCCGGGCTCTGGACCGGGCGGCCGCCGGTCCAGCTATGCGCCGGCCGAGGGGAAGGCCCCGGCCGAGGGGAGGGTGTAGCCTGGCGCGCAGGCCGGCGCGTCGGCCGAAGGAAGAAGCAAAAAGGGCATGCCGCATTCCGGCCTCCCGGAGGCCTTGGATACCCGGGGCGCCGGGGCCGGCCAGCTGCCGCGGTACCCGGTCTTGCCTGTGCACGGGGCGCCCCGCGCGCCCCGGCCGCATCGCTCGCGATGGAGGCGTCCCGAACCGGAGAACGACCATGCATGGGGACAACCCCGGAGCTGCCGGCCCGGCCCCTGACGAGGCACGTCCCGGCCGGCGGCCGCCTGGCCGGGCCAGGAGGAGGCATTTCACAGCCGCGCCGTGCTCGGGCGTGTTGCCTTGTATTTTTGCCTCCTCCCTGGGAGGAGCCAGACCAGCAGGGAGGACGGCAGGGGGACGGGCGGCGCGCGGCGGCGGGAAAGCCCCGCCTAGGATGCCGGTGGGCCGGCCTGTGCGGATCCGGTGCCGTCGCCCACGAGGCCCAGACGGAAGGAGCCGGCGCCCGATGGCCGTTCCCGGGAATGCGCATGGCTCCAGCCGCCCAGACCGGCGGACTGAATTAAGCTCCGGGCGTCCATTAAGCACGTGAACTCATGTGGCAAGGCGAGATCAGCACCCCCCGATGTTGGTCCCCGGGCATCCGCCCGTCGAGGCGGCCCCAGCCCTGTTCCCCTGCTGCCCACCGTCCCCCGGAGAGGCCAACGCCGACGGGGCCCCGTGGACCATGCCCACATCCCCGCACATACATCCACGCATGAGAATCTCCGCCGGTCCCTCCCTTGTCCCCCCCCCCCAACTCTGGCAGGTTGGCCCAAGACGCAAATGTGCAGGAAAAAAAAAACAAAACAAAAAGCTCACCAGACCCAATGGGTGTATCTTGGCTCGGGGCTGCCCGCGAGAGTGGCTTTCACAGAGCGCCTTGTCTCTGCCCCTCGCAGGTTTGGGACCGGCCCGGGCGGCTGTCATTGCGGCGAACGCTGGCCGGCGGCCGGCTGTGGGCGCCGGTGGCCGCCGCGGCCCGATGCATTGTCCCGGCCGGCGCGCTGGCCGCCGCCATGCTGGCCGCTGGCCGGAGCACCGGGCCGGCGGTCTTGCTGCTCACGCGTGGGCCTGTTTCTCTGCCCATCGGCCAGATGCTTCTGCTGGTAGGCAGCGCGGTAGCGCAGGAACAGCTCCACCAGGACCACCGCATCGTTGACCGCGTAGTCCACCTGAGCAGGATGCATGTCCTCCTTCCAGAGGCTCCAGTCGGCCATGGTCCAAGAGCTGTCCAGCAGCACGCCAAAGCAGAATGCCACCATGCCCTTGAGACCTTTGAGGCCTTTCGAGTCGGAAATCCCTGGGAAGGGATGCCCCCAATCGCGCAAGGGGGCCGGCACGGTGTGCATGTGCCCGGCATACTCCGGCGGGATGTCCGCCGGATAGCCCCCCAAGCTGGGGCGGTGCTGTGTGCTGGGCTTTTTGTTGTCCGAAGGCTGCGTCGGATGGTCCGCCAAGTCGATGAAGGACGGCATGTCCCCAGGCATTTGGAGATAGCTGGCCAGTGGGACCACATCGCTCGAGTAGTTGTAAACAAGGTTCACCCACGACCGGTGCTGGTCATGCACCGTGAGGTACTCCCGCAAGCAGGCAGTCGCCAAGTCCGGGTGCTTGGCCATGCTGAAGAGGAAGACCACCGAGCGCCGGAGTGCCGCGGCGACACCGTGCCAAGTCAGCCGGCCAAGCGCTTCGGCCGGCAGCGGCGTCAGGCACACCTGCACCAGTGCCGGCACCTTGGACTGGGCGTTCGGGATGGACTCGGTGTCGAGGGCCGAGATGCCTCCCTGGCGGTGGAGCATGGCGCAGAATGCCTCGGCCGCGGCAGGCGTATCGACCCACACGACCTGCACACCGGCCGGGCGCTCGTACATTGGGTACTCCGGGCCCGCGGTGGCGGCCACGGGGTGCGGTTCGATGCCGACCTGGCGGATGGCATAATGCAGCAAATTGATGCTTGCCAGGTTCGTGAATGCCACCGGCCGCCAGCCGACCGAGCGAAGGGGCTTGTAACTTTGGGACCAGACAGTGAGACTGAAGGAATCCCGCTGCAGTTTCTTCTTCATCTTCTCAATGTCCCAATAATCATTCATGAGGCCCAGCAGGGGGATGCCTGAGTAGGGTGCTTGTGTCTGTCAGCAATCGGTCACCGGTGTATGTATGTGCATGTGCATGTGCATGTGCGTGCGTGCGTGCGTGTGTCTTCTTCCGTGCCCATCCCCTCCCTCTGGTCGTCCATGTTTCTGTTTCACTCGGCAGGGCAGATGTGTCTCGCCGGGGCGGAGGATGCCGGTGACCCGGCGAAGCGGCATGGCCTGGGCCCGGAGGCGGGGAACGCACAGCAACGAACAAAGTAGCTAGCACCCACGAAGAAAGGCATGAATGGCTCAATCGCAAGGGCATCGCGGATCACCATGTCGAGCTCGTCATCCAAGATGCCGGACACCTTATACTTGGCCATGTGCCTGTCAAAGGGCATCTCAAGCTCCTTGTCCAGGGCCATCAGCCGCGCGCCGAGCTCCCAGGCCGGGTTCTCGGCCAAGACGCCGAAGGACACCACCACCGCCGCCAGGGCCTGGGGCAGCGGCGAGAGGGGGGAGGGGCGGCGAAAGGCAAGGCGGCACAGCCGAAGGTCAGACCGCGCAAGCTTCCCACAAGCAGAGGGGCAAGGGAATAGGGGGGAATTTTTCGGCACCCAGGCGCCCCGGGAGCGTACTAGCATGTTGGCGCGATCGAAGCGCGAGTGTTGATCATAGCCACCAAAGAAGGCATTGAGGTCACTCTCCACAGGGACGGTCCCCTTGTTCATAAAGTCAAGGACTGGGTGACAGCGGGTGGCGATGGGCGGCCCCCTCGCAGGAAGTTAGCAAAGTGCGGGACAACGGCATACAGGGGGATCTTACGGGCGCGGCCCTTGGAAATCGGCCCCGGCGCCTCCTCGAGTGGGGGTCACGACTGGAGGGCCGGCGGCGATGCCTGCCAGGGCCGAGCCCTTTTGCTCTCGCCCCCCCCACGTCCCCCCCCCCCCGCCTCCCGAAAGCGACGCACAAGAGCGGCCGCGACCCGGCGCAAACGCACCCATGGTGGCAACCTGTCCGTAAGAGGCCTTCTTGATCCGCTTGTCAGCGATGGTATACTGGGTGTAGAGGTAGTCCAGCAGCCTCTTCTTGGCGTGGGTGGTGGGAGTTCACGGGAAGATGGATGACCGCTCTTCGGGCATGGTCACCCGGGAGCCCTCCTGGCTGGAGGCATGTTCGGCAGGCGAGAGAGTCTGCACATGGTGTGGCAGGGCAAGTCAGGCCAATGGCTGGGCGAAGGACAAGGGAGTAGGGCAGTTGACTCATGCTGCTGTCGGGGGTGGACAGCAGTCTGCCATTTCGACGGACCATGGGGTTTCGCTGATGTGGTGGAGGTTCTGGTAAAAAGGAGAGGGCGGGCGAAAGGCGGGGGTGACTGTGCGGCAGGCAGACCAGATGCCATCCAGGTGACTTTTATTTGTGTGCGAGGGGACCAGCGCTGGGACCGGCACTGGGGCCGGGGGCGGGGGGAAACGAATGTCGTCCGGCCAGCCTTGGGGTGGGGAGCCGCGCAGCTGGCCTGGGCATGCCGGCGGCGCCCTCTGCGGCGACCCAGACGCGCTTGCGGACCCGCAGGGCGTCGCCCCGCGCTTGCGGACCAATGCCAATGCGAGTTGGCCGCGCCGGCCCGGCCGGCCCCGCCCTAACACGGGCCGCCAACTTCGATGGGTCTTGGTGGAAGGACACGCACAGCGGCGTGCACCCTCCACCGGGGGAGACCACCCCCGCCCCCTCGCCTTCTGTTCTGGCGGCCCTCCCGCGTCCGCCGGCAGGGCGAAGAGTGGCCCCAGGCCCACAGGGGCAAGTGTCGTTGCATCATCTTCGACGGAAGGCCCGGCCACCACTCCCTGTGCTCCGGCGCAGGGGAAGCCTGCCCCTCGGGGGCGAGCCGCGCCGGGCGTGTTTTCAAATTGGCCTCATCTGGTTCGTTGGGAGCACAGGCCCCGGGTGGCTCCCCGGGACGGGCGCGCCCGGCGTCCCGAGCCGGGTTCACGAGCGCCTCCGAATGGGGGGGCTCCACAATGCCGGCGCAAGAAAGCGGGCGCCGTGCACGGCGGCAGCCAGGCGGCGGGGCCAGCCCGGCCAAAAGCTCGCCCCAGGTCGGGGCACGCCCGCCGGGGGAGCCCGGCTCGCCGGACACCACCCGGCCTCTGCGGAAGGCAGGACCACGGACACCGGAGAGGGCAGGTGCCGCGCCGCCGGGGAATCCTCGCGCCTGCTGCCCCTTGCGATGGCCGGGCGCGGCCGTCTGGGCCGGGCACCACGCGCCTGTGCGAGCGTCGCCCCTTCCCGGCGGGGGCCTGATGGCGGAGTCCCCCGTGTCGGGCGTGCCTCTCTATGCTGCGCCCTGCCCGGCACGGGGCACAGACCTGCACCCCTGGCCGCTCTCCGGCTCATGACGCACGGCCACCCGTGCCGCACAGACCCCAGCGCTGTGGCAGTCCCTGCCTCAGGCCCGGAAGGGGAGGGGGCGTTACGCAAGCTTCACTTCGACCTCCCAGCCCAGGCCGCCCCCTCCCGCGCGCGCGCGCACACCGCTTTTGCCCACCGGCCGGATGGGGCGCCCCAAAAAAAAGGCCCGCCGCATGACCTGCAGCCACGCCAAGCCCTTGCCCTCCCCCGCTCCCCTGCCCCGGGCCTGCGCCCGCCTCGCTCCGTGGCCACGCAGGGCCGCCCACTGCTCCGGCTGCCAGCTCCTCCGCGCGTGCCGCACGCCCAGCCAAGGCCGACGCCCGGCCGCACGCCCAGCCAAGGCCGACGCCCGGCCGCACGCGCCTTCCCATCAGGCGGACGCGCACCAGGAAAGAGCAAAAGCCGAGGAATAAAAAGAGCAAGGGGGTCCCGTCTATTTCCCCAGGACCGGCTGCTGGGGAAGGACCACCGCCGCCGGGGGGGGCCGCTGGACCTCCGGCGGGTCGGCCGGGCCGGCCTCCAACCGGGCCGCCTCGCGGCCCAGCTGGTTGACCGACTCCAGCAGCGACTCGACCGCCAGCCGGGAGAAGGTGGTGGCCAGGTCCCTGGCCCCGATGCCGGTGGTCACCCCGACGGTCACCTTGAACACGGTGCCGATGGTCAGGCCGTCGGCCATCTTGACCGCCATGCTGGCGGCCATGTTGGTGGCCAGCCGGGCGGACATCTTGGCCGCCTGGCGCGACGCCTCGGCCCCGGACTCCTCGCCGGCCAGCTGCCCGGCCAGGGAGGCCGTCGTGTGCAGGGCCTCCCGCACGGACTTCTCGTCCAGCTTGCCGTCCAGCATCTTGTTGGCCATCTTGGTGGCCATCTTGGCCGTCATCTTGGTGGCCATGCGCCCGGCCATGCGGACCGCCGAATTGGCCGCCAGCTTGGTGGTCACCCGGGCCGCCTCGGAGGCCGCCTTCTTGCCCAGCAGCTTGGCCGTCTCGTCGACCGGCAACCCGGCCGCCAGCAGCTCCAGCGTGCTGGGCGAGGGGGCGACCGCGGCGCCATCCCCCGCGGCGGCCCGGGCATCCTCCCACTCGGAGTCGCTGGCCCAATCCGGCCCCCGGTCGATGGTGTCCCAGCCGAGGTCCCCGCCGAGGTCCCACTCGGAGTCGCTGTCGGACCCGCTGTCCGAGCAGCCGCCCCCGGCCCGGCCGGCCGGGTCCCGAAGCGCCGCCTGGAAGGCCGCCTGCACCGCCGCCTGCACCACATCCTGCGTGATGGACAGCGAGGCGCCGGCCAATTCGGCGTCCTCCTCGGCCTCGGCCTCCGGGGCGGCCAGTTCCTGCGTCGAGGCCGCCCGGCGAGCCGCCGCCTCGGTGGCCACCTGGGCCGCCGTGACCCCGGCCAGCATGCGCACCGCCACCTCGCGATCCCGCTCAAACAGGCACCCCATGTGCTCGTAGTAGAGGAAGAGCTCCACCAGGATGGCCGCATGCTCGAAGAGATCCGGCCCCCGGCCGGCCGACCGGAGGCCCGCGATCCACCCCCCCTCGAACCCCGGGCAAATCCGCACCAAGTCCGCCAGGCCGCGCCGGCCGCTCAGCGGCCCGGACACCTCGTGCTCGGCCCCGCTGCGGGCCTTCTTGCCGCCGAGCTCCGACCCCGGCGGCAGGGCCAGCTCGATGAGGCCCCCGTGCGCATGGTAATCCAGCGGATCCACCGGCAGGTCGAAGATGTGGCTCCAGCTGTAGCACAGCCGGACATTGCCCCGGCACAGGCCGGCCTCGGCATAATTGCACAGGTAGAACCCCAGGCACTTGTAGGCCGTGGCGTCGCCCAGGTCAAACTCGAACACCTGGGTCTTGCGCAGGCTGGCCACCAGGCCGGCCGTGTCCGCCAGCGAGGAGGGCAGGTCGCCGCGCAGCGGGGTCACCGCCACCCGGGCCCGGACCGGGCCGCGGGCCTCTTCCCCCGGGCCCGGGGCCCGGCTCGAGGTGATGGCCGCCACGCAGTGCCCCTCCACGGCCATGCGCCGGAAGAGGCCCCTGCCTGCCTCGTTGTCCACATACACCAGCCCATTGGCCCCGAGCGTCAGGAACATCTGGTTGAACACCCGGCCGATGGGCACGTCGCCCGGCCGGCTGGCCGGCGGCGCCCGGGCCGTGCTGTCGTCCGCCCACTTGTCGATCTTCCGGCCGCTGCGCTGGCGCAAGTGGTCCAGGACATCTGTCACCGCGTGGGCCCGTGCAATGTGCGCCACCAAAAAAAGCGGGTCGCCGAGGTCAGTGCTGCTGCGCGCCAGGCCTTGGCCCGCCCCCGGTCACCAGGGCACAGCGCCCGACGCACGTTTGGTATGCAGCCGAATGTCATCGTCCTCCTGGTAGAGGCACAGAAAGCCCCGGAGCAGGCGGAAGGCGGTGGCGCTCGTGTCGGCCCCGGCCGGGTCGTCCTCCGCATTGGCAAAGTGCATGAGCAGTATCCCCAGAAGCCGGAGCACGCTGTCGCGCGGGTGCTCCTCGAAGTGGCACGGTGCGACGCCCCGGCGGTCGATCACAAAGTGCACGAGGATCTGGGCCCAGTGGCGGAGTGGTGGCCGGTGAGACGCCGAAGCTCGGGCATGTCGCATGCCGCACATGCGCGGACCATGGGCAGGGGGGGGGGGGGAACACTCGGAGCGCACCAGCACCATGGTCTTGTCCATGACAGAGAGGTCCTTGAAGTGGGCGTGCTGCTGCTTGACAAAGTCCACCAGGTGGTCTTGCCCGCTGGCCGGGCCGGGCCAGGAGGCGAATGGCTGGATGTCATCGTCTGGACAGAGGGCGTCGGGGTCAGAGGGGCCGGGGCACAGGCGTCGCACGGGAGCGGCACGGCATCGACGCACAGACACTAGAGGCGAAGTCGAAGGATTTCTTCAGACGCCGCGAGTCGCCGGTGATGTCCGGCTTGGTGTTTGTTCGGGGGGGGGGGGGGGGCGGTTAGCAGGGCGGCGACGCCGTTGAAGGCGTGGGCAAAGCAAGGGGCCCCTACCATGGCTGCGACCGAGCGGGGAGGCCGCAGACGAGAGACGCAGAGACGGGGGAGAGAGAGAACGAAAAAAGCAAAAGCGGTGGGTGGGGTTGCTGGGGCCTCCTGGGCGCTGAGCTGGCCCGGCCGGCCGCCCAAAAATCCGCCCCCC